GCTGACTGTGAACGGGAGCTAGCACTTTGAGACATCACGTCGTAAACTTGCTACTTTCTTTCCATCCGTCATCACAGCTATGGCATTACGGTCATGTGGATTATTTTTCTGTCATTGAAGAAAAAAACATTTTGCCGACCTCAAGTCCATTACAATAACCATAATGAGGCATGCCAACGATGGGAACTTGTTGCATCATAATTTTGTCATGTGTGTGGGTGCATGGTTAAATCATGTTAATGAGGTCGACCAGAGTTTATTTTCAGTCTGTTTTTTATGTATCGCCATTTGGATATGTTTATGTATTCACAATAGTTTGTAAATATTTCACATCAGTAATAAAAGGTTTATTTGTTTCATAACCCTGTCTGCTATTCTTCAGTAATTACGATGGATTACAAGCGGTAGTTTTTCCCCGGCCGTTTCGACTTGCACTGATCACGGTTACTAAAAAAGTAACCGTGCATTGATTACAATACTTACCATACTTTGTAGCCAATTTCAGTGAGTAATACAACTTCATTCGCTGACATAAAACAAGTTTTATTCTTGAAATTCGACCCTGTGTCTTAGTGTTCCCACAGTTCTTGACCGAGAGCTCATGTTTATTGAAACCTCGCATAAATCAAGAAATAAGTACGTGTACAAAGTGTACGAAAGCATTCCTTTATTTGACCTTATCATACGATCACAAAAACAACTTTTTAAAATCTTTTTTGGGGTGGTCCTCGGGTAAGAGCCCACCCCCAATTTTTCCCGACTTTGTACGTTCAGGCCCCTGGGCGCGTGCCCGGGGTAATACGGTGTATATATATATATATATATATATATATATATACAACATGATGTATAACGAATATATAAAATTTGAATATAATCAGTCAAAGCATTTAAGAGATATGGCTCTTGAAGCCCAATCATTAAAACAAAATGGCCGCCAGTCAGCTATTTTGAATCAATTTGAAAAATAAAATGACGTGCATCAGGAACCCGTAATGTCTAATGTATGTACCAAGTTTGAACAAAATCTATATAATGAATATTTAAAATTTGAACATAAACGGTCAAAACAAGTCGGAGATATGGCTCTAGAAGCCCATTCATTAAAACAAAATGGCCGCCAGACAGCTATTTTGAATCTGATCTGAAAAATAAATGATGTGCATCAGAAACCTGTAATGTCTAATGTATGTACCAAGTTTGAACAAAATCTATAAATGCCAGAAATGCTTGATATTTGATGATTTTTTAGCACAAAAATTACCACCATTCGGCCATTTTGAATTGGATCGTCAAACCAATATATGTCTATCTATGACATGATGTATAATGAATATTTAAAATTTGAACATAATCAGTGAAAGCAAGTCAGACATGGCATAAGAACCACATTCAATAAAACAAAATGGCCGCCAGTCGGCCATTTTGAATCTAATCTGAAAAGCAAAATTATTTGCATCAAGGTCCCATAATGTCTAATGTATACACCAAGTTTGAACAAAATCCATCTGTAAACATCCGAGAAATGCTTGATTTTTATGAAATGGCCGCCATTCGGCCATCTTGAATCTGATCGTGAAACAAATTGACGTGCATATGTATAATATCATGTATGATGTATGTGTGAAGTTTGATTGTGATTGGTCCAGGCATTTTTAAGATACAGGTCCGGACGCACGCACGGACGCACGCACAGACGCACAGAAATCAAAACATAAGTTCCCGTTTTCGGACTGCGTCCGAACGGGGACTAATAAAGCACTTTACAGTACGTTCATATGCCATTTTTTTTATGAATGACTTAATTATTCTATAGTCATATCTGTTGTAATTCAAGTCACTCACCTCAATGTGGTGTGTGGGTACTGGTAGAATTGTCCTCATTAACTCCACATCATGTGACAGTTTATCAAATTCACACACTCTCTGCAAAATAGAATGACACATTATGACATGTCATATATATGGATGACATGAAGGCTCACACCAGCTACAGTCAGGTTATCCGCCGAGTACATACCTGTCGTAACTCTGTATTTGTAGTTATATCTTTATACTTTATTATGACATCATTGACGACATCACTAAACACTCCACTCTGTGAGGTTATTTTCATAATTGCAGTGAATATCCAACATGTGTAGCTGTCATCGGTGTAAGTGTCGTCTAATAATTTGAATAAACTTTCTATCACTTCTGTCTTGGGAACAGAGTCATCTAAATAGGAGAACTCTCCAAGCACCTGAATTATAAACACAACACATTACTCAATGTAATATATAGAATTATACAAGATATACACAATATTGGGTCAAAGGTCGTGAGACTAATATGCTGAAACTGTCATCAGGAACTAGATACATGTGCATGAGGTAACTATAACCTACCCAGCAAACAACTTTTATCAGTGCATCAGGTAATTTTCTTTTTCTCAGTAGTCTGTAATAAACACCGACAGCTTTCAGTCTCAGTTCTCTGTCATATTCCACTGCCTCTGTGTCTGGAAGAACATGTCCAAGTATGATAAGATGATTTGCATACTAATTGATATAACTCAAAACAATTTTCATGGCAAACAATTTGACTACAGGTGCTTTTTTTTCTAGAATTAGAATTCTGCATTTAAATACTGGGAATGGTAAAGACAAAATGGCTACCACTTACGTGTTGACAACCAAAACTGATTCATAATTAAAATCGACCAGTCAGTATTTAATTGAAAATTGTACTGCACTTACCTTCAGACAGTAGTTTTACTAGATTATTAGAGACATCTCTTGGAACTAGATCACCAGCCAATAAGAATGTATGATTGATAGTGTTCAGGTACCATTCGCTGTTTGGTGAATATGTAGAAATTAAGTAAAGGAACAAACATAATGTGTACTGGACTGTTCAATGTGTTATTAGCTCACAACATGAGATAAATTATCGGGACGAAGATATGCTACAGAACATTCCACATTGCTATGACGCGCACCACTCTACCATGTATTTCTATGGGCACTGTGTGAGCTGCTGTGGAATGCCAGTTGAAGAGCCAATGAAAACAGCTAAAGTCAAAGTAACAACACAAAATCAGTTTTCTGAGAGTTGATTGGCTTTTGTTTTCACTGTGATGGTTGCCAAGTGGTGCAAATACAGGGATGTCTGCCCCTAAGAATACAAAGGAACATACAAAAGGATATTTCTCAGCTAAATCAGTAATCTTTGCAACCAGGTCTTTTTTGATGTAGTTATCCTTGGCAGTGTTAAGATACTCAAGCACTTTTTTAAAAATAACTTCAATATTTTTCTGATTTGTCATCTTAAAAAGAAGATCCAATGTCTGAAAAAAAGTATATTTCCCCAAGAATTATTGACTGAATGATTTGAAATGTTTTTCACAATCATCCAGTGAATACTAACAATAACAATAAAGTTTCACAAAAAATTGTTAGTAAAATTTGTAAAAATTACCAATCAAAACAAGTACTGTAGCATTAGAACTAATTCGCTAATTTAAAATGTCGCTAATGACTTCATTATAAATTCAAAATGGCAGCCAAACAACATCTTTTTCTCCACACACACACTTTGTAAACACAGAAAATGTAATAATCTGGAGTGCTTCCTTATTACACTTTTTATGGAGGTAATAATTACCTCAGACAAGTAATGTGAAAACAGGAAATCAACAAGACAAGAGAGATTCGCTATTAATAAAATCAACATTTCGCTATTACGTTATTTTACCACAATCCATGTATGTATGGGGGTCTAAAAACTAACGCGACGCGATTGTACGACTCGCCGAATGTCGATTATTGCACTCTGCGACAGGATCGCAGTGCCACTCTGCGAAAAGCACGATTCCTATTGGTTGGTGGGTCGAACAGCGCGAATCACAATGGTCGATGTTCACCGCATGCCTTATAAAAAATTGAGTTTTAAATGGTAAAAATGGTATGGTAAAAAAAGGGGGTAAACACTATGTACCGGCGACATGCTGCACTGTTCGGTGATCGGCAAGCGCATGGAGGACACAATGTGGGACCAAACAAATGACACATAGTTTGGCTAGAAAAATTAAATAGTGTAACGTACGTGCACGTTGGTTTTGACTGCCTATTTATGGTGTAACGTTATCGCCATCTTGGAGTTGTAAGGCTTAGTCCCGACGACTATGCTCATTATCATAGGCAGCGGCTTCAAAGCGAGTGGAATGCGAAGTACTTTTCACGCGTTCTGCAACGAATGTACGTACGTCTGCTTTGACTTTGTAGAGTGCATCAAGGAAAATAATTTGCATGCAGTGAAAAAAAATCATTCACGATGTGCAACGTTTTGCCATGACAGCAGTTGTTTGCAATCGTCTGCCTCCGTTTGGATCATAAACAGACTCCAAACTTGTGGTCTACGATCGATTAGCAGGTATTTTAATCACCAGAAATGAAATACTTTGTAACAGTTGTGAAAAGTAAACAAAAACGGCGTTGGTTTGTGGTATGAATGGAATTATTTTTGTATCATAATTTTCGAAGTCAGTATTACTGAAAATTATGGTTTATTTTTTTAAATGAATGCCAAATTTCGGTGGTCCATAATGATCTCAATGTAGCGGGAAGGGAAATTTTCTTTTTTTTTTCTTCTTGATTTTTCAATAATTGATAAAACGGTTACTTTGTACATGTACCTTGATTCATCATCCCAGCTTTTCGAAATTTCGGAAAGACCAGTGCTCAAACGCTAACACTACTACCGTTCCGTTAATATTTGCATAATGTTTATAACATGTATATGTACACTACCGGTAATACTCTGTTGTTGACGATTCTGATAGATCGGGTGACAAGCTTCCTGTCGCAAACAATGCATATTAATCTAACGTCCATTGTCAGCATTATTATCAGTCAAGACTTCGTTTGAGAAATCGTTTTATTTTCTATATTCTATTTTAATAACATCATCTTACTAACGCAATTACGATGAAAAAAAGAAAGCAAAGACGCCAATGACAGACGAGGCAAAGAAAAATCTGCAACTCATGGTCATATTTACTAATTTAGACTTGCCAGCAGCCTGTTGTGATTCCGATGAAAAATTACAGGACTCTCGCGTTCACCCCTCGTTTACGCAATTTATATCTATTTTTCAAGAATTTTTCATCCGAATAGCAACAGATTGCAACCACGTCTAGGTCATATTATGACCAACCTCGCGAGTGGTTCGAAAGGGACGATTAGGCAGAAATATTCGCATCAACGTGAAAGAGTTTCAACTACTTGAGGGCCGCTGATCAGACGAGGAAGTGAGTACAGGAAATCTGTTGCTCGTCGACATCGACCAAATAAACAAAGCCATCGTTTCCGTTTATGCAGAGAGCGTGCACCCATCTAATTTTCCGTTGACACTGCCGTTTTAGTTTTCTATCTTCAGCAGTAGTTTCAATCCATCAAACAGCTTTACGTTTTTTCTCTCTTAATATTTTTAATAAAACGATATTGATTGCCTAGAAACAGTTTGATGAATATAGTCATGACAAATTATACTTGCTAATGACAAAAAAAGAACGTAACATCATGTGAAACGTACTTCGAGTTCCACTCGTGTTGAAGCTATCGCCTATGCTAATGAGCATAGTTGCGAACGAAGCCTTACAACTTCAAGATGGCGTTAATGTTACCAGCTCCCTGATGTTAATAGTACACCGTAATAAGGCACCCAACACCAACGTGCATGTGTTTTGTAACCCCTTTCATGTTATATATGTTATATATGTTAATAAATCATTGTTAAATACTTGCTGATTACTGAACCGTGTAGCATGTCGTCGATAAATACTTGTTTGCCGTAGTTCGCGAGCAGTCAGCGAAATAATCATTTAAAACTGAACATTTCTATGAGGCATGCTGTGCACCCTTACATCTATCGACCATTGAGATTCACGCTTTTCGACCAACCAACCAATGGAAATCGTGCTCTTCGCAGAATGACACTGCGATCCTGTCGCAGAATGCAATAATAGACATTCGGCGAGTCGCACAATAGCGTCGCAGAGTTAGTTTTTAGACCCCCATACATACCTCCACAATTTGCTAAAATAGTATGTCGCTTTTCAACATGTTTTACAGTATGTCATGGAGTAAATTGTTGACTCCTATGTGCACATAAAAAGGAATACTTTACCCTGTCTGTTTAAATGTATGTACATCTGTCTACTCCACTGATATCAATGAGACAAGAACCACTCAAAATTACAATAACACATATATACATTGGTCAGTGATAAACAACAGACCTTAGTATAATGGGTTGAAATCAAGGCATAACAGTTTGCCTGATTTTCCAGATAAACAGACAATTTTCCTGATTTTTCCAACACTATGATATATTCATACTTATGCCAGATTTTTTTGGAGCAACAATCTATTTAGCAAAATTGTTCACAAACAGACAAAAGTCAAATTAATTAATTAATGTGTCAAAAATATTTTAACATAAATATCAGACAAGCAGCCTGTTGGCTGAGATAGCTCAACTGTTAGCAATGCACATTTCAATTAAAGAACTGAAGACATCATCAGAAAATGAACAATATGTATAGTATCAATGCAATGGAACTTGCTGTTTTCAACAAGAATTCAAAAATATCACCTTTCACCTTAAATGACAAAAATAATCATCAAAATTAGACAATTGAAGATATCATCATGAAAGGAACAAATTTGAGAGTGGTCCACATGTAGTACCTATATATGTAATATCAAAGCAATTGGACTTGTGGTTTTTAACAAGAAGTAAAAAATATCACTTTTTACCAAAAATGACAAAAATATTCACCAAAATTAGAGAATTAAAGATATCATTACAAAATGAACAAACCTAAGAGAGGTCTACCTAAGGTACATATACACCAAGTATACAAGCATTGAGGCTTGCAGTTTTCAAGAAGAAGTCGAAAAAGTAAAGCATTGACACGGACGAGGACGAACAATCACTCATAGGATAAGCTCCGCTCGACAAAGTCGACAGCGGACCTAAAAACTAATACAGACATGACAAATATAACACATTTGAGCATTTCCAAAAGAATCACACATAAACCAGCAATTACACTCATTGTATGTTTGGTCATTCAACTACAATTTATTTTGTTATGTGCATAACGTAAATAAGCGTATCTATTAGGAAACAGGGAAACATGTTATACCAAATTTCCAGGACTGTGGATCGAAATATAGAGTACCACCCCACTGTGTGATGACCACACTTACCTTCACTTTAATGGTTTCATCTGGGTCATCCAAACAGTCAATAACAACAAGCTGATGCTCAGATGCATAAGATGGATTCACTTTTATTACAGCAGATAGCGCTGTTATACCTGGAAGAAAAAAAATTAAAACTTGAACTAATATTATCAAAACAAATCAGCTTTCAATCTGAATGATAAAGATGTACCGGTAATTTCAATACACATCCCATTATCACCATTTCAGAATATTATGCCATTTGTGCAGAAACAATTTTGGGAAAGTCACTGAAACTCCATGTTGAAGAAATGCAATGAAATTTTCACAACTATATACTTTATTGACATTACCCTAGTAACTTAGAATACATACAATATTTCCAAACAAATTAGACTTAGGATAAGGGAGATAAGTGAGGTGACACACTATGATAGGATAAGAGAGATAAGTGAGTTTACAAACCATGGTAGGATATAGAGAGATAAGTGAGTTTACACACCATGGTAGGATAAGAGAGATAAGTGAGTTTACACACCATGGTGGGATGAGAGAGATAAGTGAGGTGACACAATATAGTAGGATAGAGAGAGATAAGTGAGTTTACACAATATAGTAGGATAAGAGAGATAAGTGAGTTTACACACCATGGTAGGATGAGAGACATAAGTGAGTTTACACAATATAGTAGGATAACAGAGATAAGTGAGTTTACACACCATGGTAGGATGAGAGACATAAGTGAGTTTACACAATATAGTAGGATAAGAGAGACAAGTGAGTTTACACACCATGGTAGGATGAGAGAGATAAGTGAGTTTACACAACATGATAGGATGAGAGAGATAAGTGAGTTTACACACCATGGTAGGATAAGAGAGATAAGTGAGTTTACACACCATGGTGGGATGAGAGAGATAAGTGAGTTTACACAATATAGTAGGATGAGAGAG